ATGACGAATTTGTCATCGACTTATTGGGCCCAGAACTAGGATGGGTCTGAGCTGACGACTAGCTGTTTGAGTCTCCGTAGAGCTGTTTCGGCAATGACTCCAGACAGAGGGGAGCCCATGCGTGTCCCCTAGTATATAAAAACTAGCTGTAAATTTATTCTAAACGGAAAATAGACCCACACTCTTTAAAAACACTAATCTTAAAACTAATTATAAAGCCGGTCCAAATATTAAAACCAATTCTTGGTATAAAGGTAACCCTAACTCTAAAACTAACCTCAAGCCTTACCTTGGGAGAAACCCTAATTATAAAACATCCCCTAACAATAAAACTAATCATGGCCGTGACTACTTTTCCATCATTCCTAATGAAAACTAACGCTTTTTGATGCTTATCCTAGACCCGCATTTTCAACCCTCTAGCCGTAAAATCACGGACAAAATTTGATCCACTCCATAAATTCCAATGGTCCTACTACCAATCCCCAAAGCGTTACGGTAACACGTACAGTAGCATGCAGACCGACTGACTGGACTCTTACAGTAGTACTCCATACCTACTCAAATGAGGCAAGTAGCCAACTGTACAAGAATAAATGAGAAGGTTCGCGTTCTAGGTATGGACATGGAGGAAGATATGTCGAGCACCGGAGAAATTAATTTCTTGTCCTGAGCTTTCGAACTTTAACAGAAATCCATATTAAGGAGCATATATCCAGTTCTTCAAAGTGTGCAATAATAGTTTAGTGTGAATAATAATAAAAATGTGATTGCTCACATTTCTAATTCTCAGTCGATCACAGCAGCAGAGGTAGTCACGTGTAAAGTTTTTGGAAGCCCGTTGTCTACACTGGTCGTAGTACACAGTGAGCAAACGGCAACATTCCCGTTATACTTGCAAAATCCCCTGTTCGTGGCTCGGGTTCATGTGAACCAATGATTTCTTGACATTCCAGATTCAAATCGGTAATTATCGCCATTTCATTCCTAATTTCGTTTCTAAGTGTGATTCGTATTCAGTCCCTTGGCTCATTTTCAGGGTCCACTAACAACAGTAGGCATGCGTCATTTGGTTGCTGCACCCTATAGTTGCTGTTTTCCATCAGCCTCGTGTGTGACCGCTCCTGGTGATGGGTTCAATGATACAATCCATATAGAGTACGGCCGGCATTTCATGCAAAATTCCGAAATTTGCGAAAGATTGATAATTACTCGTAAAACCGCATTAAGTGTGGTTGTAATATATAATATCATGCAACCTTATTGCATTTTATTTCAGCCAAGTCTGGAT